CAATCATTCATTATCCTACTCAGTCTCTCCGCCAAAAAAAATCTTTCTAACTAATACTAGTTCACCAGGAGCCTCCTTTCGCATTTCAGAGTCTATGGGACATTTCTTTGGAGGTGGGGGACACTGAAGGTCCGGGACGCCACCATTCCCGCCACGCCATTTAGGACCTAGATCCTGGCGCGCTCTCCCCAACGAGCCTCAGGCAGAGCCCGGGGAGCTGCGACAGTCCAATCCCCTCTCCTACCCAGCCCACCGGATTACACAACGCAAAGCAAACCGGGCCCAACCTCTGTGCCCCCATTCAACGTACCCTCCTTCTCGCTGTACCCCATTTCTTCCCACTTCTTCCCCGATGTAGCCCGATCCCTTTATTCAGTTCCAAGTCCCGGTAACCCCCCTGCTCCCAACACACACACCCCTCCAACCTCGGACCCCTGCCCCTTGGACCTCACTACACCCCGGTCCCTCCCCCTAGACCTCCCAGCAACTCGAGCCCCCCCGGGTGCCCCAGCGCAGACCGGCGCCCTGTCCCTGTACCCACGGGACCCGTGTCCTTCCCCGCACGTCACACTTGGGTGCATTCCTCGCGACCCGGTCTTCCCTGCCCCCTCCCCAGGAGCAACCCCTTGCACCCAGTTACCTCCGGCCCCGCCCCCCTGAGGGTGTCGCACTCACCGCTCCCGCCGCCGCATCCTTAACCGCCGCGGCTGCTATAGCTACAGGGAGCCAAGGCAACCAGTTCTCGCGACACTTTTCTCAGCTACAGCGAGAACTGCCCAGAAAAGCCCCTCGCCAGAAAGTAAACGAAGTCAGACTTGAAACGGCTACAGTATATCTCGCGATAGTAGTGTATAAAGTAAAATGGCGGCCGCAAAGCACTTCAAGGGTGGCCTGGAAAGGTTTCGAGGTGGGACTGAGGCGAGGATGAAGTTTCACCTGGCCCGAGAGTCGGGAAACTGTTGTTGGCGGGATGGTCCGGGTTTGGGGGAAGTTACTATAGGGACCCTACAATGGGAAAACTTTAAGGATGGGGCCTTCTTTTCCCAAACTTTCTCAAACCTAGAGCAGTGTCGCCTTTAGCTGAAGTTAAAGTTTTCCCGGCATTTTCCTTCTGCATGCAGCGTAGTTGGAGATGGAGAGGGCAGGCCAGAAACTTGTCTTCCCATCTTTTCATTCCTTTCCTTCGAAAAGTTTTTATCAAAAAAGTTTGCATCCGTCTTCACCGTGCCGTAGTTGGTAAACGGTATTTGGCTTCGGTAAATGTTTATCCAGAGGTGTTCCGCCCCCATCAGTTCGCCAGACCAAAATAGGAAACAAAAGTTAAAAAGAAAAAATAGGATGTAAGCATAGGTGTTTAGCCTTGGATGCGGAAGGGGACCGCGTTTGTGTGTGATCTGAGCTTTGCTCTTGTTGCTTGCCACCCTACGGACACATCATCCTTGCTTCCGTGACTCTCAACACTTAGGTCCTTCTCATCTCTCGGAAAACTGTAAATGCAGACTGATAGGATAGCATCTGGAACAGAAGGTGATTTGGAGAACGTTGGTCGACAAGGAAGAGTAAAGCCCAGAGGGAAACAAATAAGGAAGTAGAAATACTGTAATATATGAATTCATGTTCGCCTCTTGCGGCCTCCTGAATAGCACTCATAGGGTGATAGTCTAGACCAGTGCTGTTAAATAGAAATATATTGTGAACCATATTATGCAGTTTAAATTTTCTGCTAGCCACATTTCTAAAAAGTAAAAAGAAACGGGTGAATTTAATCTTAATAGTATATTTTATTTAACCCAATATATTTAAAACCTTACCGTTTGAACATGTAATCAATGTAAAAAGTTATTACTGAGATATTTTACTTTTTTTTTTTCTTACTAAGTCTTCAAAATCTGATGTTTATTTTATACTTACAGAACATCTCAGTTCAGACTAAGCACGTTTCTAGAGCTCAGTAGCCACTTGTGGCTAGTGGTCACTGGACAGCGCAGCTCTAGATCATAAACTAAGGAGTGAATGAACTATGTAGGTGACTGGGGGTACGGGGGAGGTATTATAGGCTTGTGGTCAATGTAAAACAAACCCTTGAAGTTGTTAAATTACTGCAGAGGCTAGGCAAGTAATAGTAATTACAAAAATAAAAGATGACCTGGTATAAAACAATAGTTAGTCGTGGGGACTAGGACCCACTGGAGATTACAAACCCCTATCTAAAAGTGTGACCTTTTCTGAGTTTTAAAGCACAGTGACAACCGAATGGAAGATGTCTATGAGCAGTATAGACAGCTAGCTCTGCTTCCAGTGTTCAACCTCTGTGAACGATGGTATTCAAATGTGTGAAACATTTTTGAGGAAAGGATATTTTAACAGAAAATAGCATCCAGGCGAAGGAATGCCAGAGATTGAGGATTTGACTAAATTTCTGGCTGGATCCTGTACAAGCATGTACTTTAATGCATTAAACCACCATTGTTTGATGATCTTTCCATAAAGGCTATCCTGTTCTTTTGTTTCATATTTACCAATTAAACTTCTGGTAATAATTTGACTTCTAAGTAGACTTTCCTACTTAGGAGATAATTTCATAACCAACCTGGGCTCCCTGTAATTTAATAAACTTGCATCATGATTTGTTGTTGTATTTAGAATTTCAGACATTCCAAGCTTGGAAAAAAAGTAAGTTTTTAGGTTTTCAGAGCCGTTCACTGGTAGACACTGGACTTTCTTCCCCCAACTTTAAGAGTTGTTGGTAGATGCCATAGAGTTGGCCCCAGACTAATGGCAGCCCCACGCATAACAGGATCAGACCATTGTGATCCATGGGGTTTTCATTGGCTGATTTTTTGGGAAGCAGGTTGCTAGGCCTTTCTTCCTAGTCTGTCTTAGTCTGGAAGCTCCACTGAAACCTGCTCAGCATCATAGCAACCCACAAGCCTGACAGATGAGTGGTGGCTGTTCTTGAGGTGCATTGGCCGGGAATTGAACCCATGTCTCCTACATGGAAGGCAAGAATTCTACCACTGAACCACCACTGCCCTCAACTTTAAGGGTAGGCATTTGATAATTATTTTATGGTTGACTGTGAAATCTCTTTGTCACATGAAAGTTGTTATTCATCTTTGTACCTCCGATGTCTGACATGGTACCTGGTATACAGTTGTTATTGTTGTTAGCTGCCGTTGAGTTGGCCCCCAACTCATGATGACCCAAGGCACAGTGGAATGAAATGCCATCTGTCCTTCACCATCCCCATGATCCGTTGTGGATCAGACCATTGTGTTCCATAGGATTTTCACTGGCTGATTTTCAGAAGTAGATCATACTCAATAAACAATTGTTGAAGTCATGTAGTTCTTAAGCTTTTTAGGGAGGCTCACAAACTGATAAACCTGAGAATCTGATGAAAGCTATGAACCCTTATTCAGATTCTGTCTGTGCCCATTTTCCCTCAGCCCACCCCAGAGTTCACTAAAGCTTTGATCCTGTACAGGCCCATACCTTCCTACCTCAAACACCTGAGATCTCTCTGCCTAGGAGCATGCTTAGCTCTCCCTGGAAGTGCCAGTGTTAACTTCCCCTGGTAATGAAGTTAACATTACCAGGAGGAATCTACAACCAATGAAACATGGGATTTGGTGGATAAATACTCCATTTCCTCACCAGGGCAATTCAGAGATATGTTTTACTGTAATGTTTCTTAAAATTTGCTAGCATATAAGAATCACATGGAGAGATTAATAAGTCACAGACTCCTGGGACAAGAGTTTGTGTTTCTAACCAAGCTCCCAGAAGGTACTGATGGTGCCAGTCCATGCACCACAATTTAAATAGCATTGTTCTCAGAGAGTTCCCAGAGGATTTCTGCCCCAGTTGCCCAAAGCACCCTTTATTGACTTTCCTTCCACTCCCTTATCCTGCTTGGCTTTCTGGGATCACCTCCCAAATGAACTACTTGCATCCAAATCTTTGTTTCAGGATCTGTTTAGGGGAAATCCAAACTATGACATCTCTTTCCTTAGAAAAATGGACACAGAAATACAATTTTGTATACAAGTTTAAGAGGGGGCATAAATCCCCTGAAATTAATTCTTTAGGTTATCAAGGAAGGTGACCAGGGTAAATGTCATGTTACCTAAGGTTCACTAAAATTGGATCAATTTAATGCAGAGCCTAGCAACTTAATATAATCATTAACAGCTCATAGAGTTGAGTTGGATGAAAATCAGCAAGCTCTCCTAAAGTTGTTTTTCCAGATCCTATTGAGTCATCTCTTTATTCTTCCTGGTCTACATCATTCTTACTTTGTGGAACATAGGAATAAGTCTGGGACTCTAGAGAGACCCCATGCTTGAAATCAGTAAAAAGAGTGGTATTGTTCATTCCTATTGGACTCTCATGGTTTCTTTCCAATCACAGTGCTTTCTGGACACCATTCTGGTACCCCTCTGACCTTTAGATTTTTTCTTGCTGTGTTCACACAGAGGCAGGCATACTATAACTAGTTGGTTTCTCCCATTCCCCTCTAGATTCCACATGGCTCCCTATTCTGTTTCTTCATTTTGAGAATCTATAACCTTTGACACATTTCCTAAGCCCACTCTGGGGTCATCTGGAAACTTTATGGCATGCTCTAGTTCTGTGACAATTGTGTAACCCTGATTACCCTGACTTCTAATCAGCTACATAAAGAGAGCTAATATCAAGGTCACCAACACCTATTTCCTAACCACAGTGCACAACAGTTTCTTAGCTTTGCCCACATATGGGCTAACACGTGTGTTTGTGCATGAGTATTTGTCTCATGCTCTACTGAATACGTATGTTTTATATATACCTGTGAATGTGGTTTCGTAGGTGTGGATGTGGGTGTGTAAGCAACCAGAGTTCAGGTCTGGTCTTGAAGTCTGAGTAATGAATGCTTACTGTTTGACTTTAATTAGTCTCTGCGCATTGTTAGCCTCAGCTTTCGTCTGCCCTCACATATCAGAGGAAGAATGAGTTCATTTCCTTGAAGTTTATTGACTGTTACTGGTGTCAGGGCAAATTCCATAAAAGAGCAGGTTCCATACGGAGCAAGTGGAAGGGGAGTTCTGAGTTGGTAAGGAAGGATACTTGGAGTGGGGACTTGGAGTCAAGGCTGAAAAGGCAGATCTCTCCCTCCTTTTTTACATGGGGGTATCCTGCTCAGCATTCCCTCTCCAAAGCAGAACCAGAGTGGGGAAACTTGATGTAAGGTAGAGGGGCAAACACCTCACAGCTCCTCTGTTTCTCCATCCAAGGGGATGCTGATATCCACGTTGTAGTCTACAGGCTCCCCAGAGCTCAGCCAGGGAATAGGGGTTCGATTGAAAGAAGGCCTGTTGGAGAGGTTCTGGTTGTAGAGGACCAAGGGTTCACTTAGCAGGGGCCCCAGGTCAAGCTTGGGCATCTGGAAGGTCATGCGTTTGGAAGCCTTCTCATATCCACCGTAGGGCATTGCCGTCCTGAGATGGGAACACATTACTTAATTAAAAACCAGAACAAAAAGAACAGAGCCTTATCAGTCAGATGTTAACCCATTCTGAGGGTGGAGAAGTCTGGTTTGCCTGTTTCCTCAAAGCTAATAATAAGAGAAGGAGGCTAGTGGGTACTAAATTCCCCACTGCCATCGAGTCGATTCTGCCTCATAGCAGACCTATAGGACAGAAGACCCATAAGGTTTCCAAGGCTGTAGTCTTTATGGAAGCAGACTGCCACATCTTTTCTCCCGTGGAGCACCGACCTTTCGGTTAGCAGCCGAGCGCTTAACCACTGCACCACCAAGGCGCCATGGGTACTAGATAGTCTTATAAATAGTTGTTACCCACAGCAGCATGCATTTCAGAGAAAGTGACCCCAAACACTATAGACCCAAGGGTTTAAGGCCACCTTAAATTATAATGTAGAGACCCTACCAACTCTCCATGCTACCCCAGGTGGGTCGTGGATGGCCTGGGTGAGAGGACTCAATGCAAAAGCACTTCTCTAATACTTCCCTATCCTGCTTTGATAAAGATCTCCATGATCTATGGAGATAGAGAATAGATACTTAGACCCTTACTAAAGTAGGGTATAAGGAAACAGAATCATATTATGGGAGAGTAATGGAATCCTAGACCTTGAATGGAAGGGATCCTCAAAAGAGGCTTTCAAACAGATAATATATTATTCCCATTTTATAGTCAAGGCAACCAAGGCTCAGAAGTAGGTTGACTTTCCCTTGACCACATAGCTTATAAATGGCTTATGAACTAGAATGCAGATCATTCCTCCCAGTAATGTTTTCCTTCTGCATACTGATCTGTTTCTGAGCTAGAGCGAGAGCAAAGGCCTTCACTTAGGACCACTGTATTCCTCCCATCTGTCTTCATCCTCCTGAAACACTTGAACCAAAGTCTCCATCCCACACACTAGAATGCATCTGGTTCCTTCCCCACCACCCCTACCTGTTGAAGGACTTATATTTGGGAAGTTCAGCTTTGGCCCCATAGGCCAGCAGGTCAATACCAAGTTTCACTTTCTGCTGGGGGTCAACCCCCATGGCTCGCTCCCATGGAGAGATATAGGTCTTGAACACAGTAATATGTTTTCCTTCTCCACCTGCCTGGTCTCCTGGAAGCCATGGGAGAGAAAGGTAGGTCAAATAATAGCAGTTAGTAGCCAATGGAAGTTAATCCTATACCCCTGCACTAGGCTGGGGCTAGGAACCAAAGGTATAATATTCAGGTAATTGTATAAGGTTTGTGGCATAATGACAGCTTGGGGTCAAATCTGCAACTGGATCTGAAAAACCAGATAGGTGACTGAAAGACTAGGCTTCTGGGTGGAACAGACACATCTGTGTATACTTCTGGACCCAGAGAGTCCACCCAGATATCTCCGCTGGCCTCCCCTGCTCCCCCCACCTAGTCTAGGCCTCATTCCTGAGGATATCCCTGCTCTAGGGCCCAGACACATTACTCTTGGGTGAGAGTACTTACCTGTTCCTGACTCACCAGCTCCCGCTGTGCCACCTCCTCCTCTGCTGACCTGGCCCCCAGGGCCACCTGTGTCCCCAGATCCAGACCCAGACCTAGGGCCTTGATGGTGCTGCTGGTCAGAGCCATACTGTCTGGCAGAGCCACTGCCCCCTGCCTGGCCTCCATCACTGCCCTTGCTGTAGGAGAATCCCTGACCAGCTGTGCCCAGCTGACCCCCCACTGTAGGAAGGAACTTCTGAAAGTGATCCTGAAAAGAAAGTGCAGAGTTAGAGGAAAGATAGTGATGAATGTTGGGCATATACAAAGAGAGAGGTCTGTACAGAGAGGGAGGAGGTGATGAGACAATGGTCAACTGGAAGACACTGAATCCTCTGAGATTCCCCCCTCCAGTGCATGGAAGGTGAATATCCTGGCTGAGAGGAGCTAAACTCTCCTTGAGGGGTGGGACCCCCTTGGCTCAGTTCCTCCAGTTACTTCTTAGGGTAGAAGTAACTCATTCTCCACACTCCCCTTTCCCATCCTTACCAAGGTAAAGAGGACCAAGACTTCTGCCTGCTCAGTTAAAATTTGAGAGGATGGGGTTAGCAGTGGAGAACCTACCCTTAATTTGAGGAACTAGAGAGAGCTCTCCCCCTCCCCTTTTCAGCTTGTCCAACACATAGAACTTTCTTCTCCCTCACTCTCTCTTTCTCTTGGTACCTGTTGAACCAGGACTTCCTGACAATGAAATTATAGCTGGGAAGGGGGAAGGGTGCCCAAAAGGGCAACACTAGATTCAGCCACAAAGCCTAAAAATAACCCCACCAGCTCCTTCAGGAGGCTCTCCGGGCCACCCCACCAGGCACACCCCCACGCTCCACCCAGTGTAACCAGACCCAGACATAGAGGAGAGCTTTTGGCCTCCTAAAGTTAGATGTGACTGGCTCAGCATTTTCACCCTGTTCCTACGTAAGAGCCAATGACGAACACTCTTGTGCCTGGCCCCGTGTAGGTGTCTATATCCACTCCCCCTCCAATCCCCCAAGGAAGGTGATAGAGGAAGAAAGGAAATAGAGAAGATCCCTTCCTTCTCTCAGTTTTAACGTCTTGTGCCTGGTCGCTCTCCAACTCCTACTTTTCTTCCTTTGGTCAAGAAACCTGAGTAGGGGATGTAGGATCTGGACGAAGGACAGTTTCAGACCCCACATCTGGGGTCCTGAGGGAAGAGGGACACATATTAGGGACACGTAAAGGGTCACATTAAAAGACTGACGCTTTAAACAAAAGAATGGCTCAAGAAGGAGATGGCTATAAAAACTCACTTAACTCTTTCTAGGGTTGCCAGATTTAGCAAATAAAAATACAAGATATCCAGTTAAATTTTAATTTGAGATATGCAATGAATTTTTTTTAGTATAAATGTGTCCCAAATGTTGCATGAGATGTACTTATAATAGGAGTCCCTGGGCAGTGCAAATGGTTAAACGCGCAACTACTAGCCAAAAGGTTGGCAGTTCAAACTCACCCAGAGGTGCTTCAGAAGACAGGCCTGGTGTTCTGCTTCTGAAAGGTCACAGCCTTGAAAACCCTGTGGAGCAGTTCTACTCTGCACACATAGGTTCGCTATGAGTCGGAATTGACCCGGTGGCAACTAACAACAACATATTTACTCTAAAAATTATTTGTGTGCATATACTCATAAACTCAAGTTTAACTGGCTGTCTTATATTTTTATTTTTATGTGCCACATATTGCCTGGAAAATACTTACACTAAAAAAAAGTTATCCATTACATATCTGAAATATAAAATTAACTAAGCATTCTATATTTTATGTGGTAACCCTATCTACCACTTACCCAAACTGGGAAGGAATTTTCTCCCTGAGGGTGTGGTACCTCTCTCCCCGCTCCAGCCACTTCCACCAGCTCAAAGATAGAGACTGAGTTTCAGAGGTGAGCTGTAACTCGCCTGGAGCTGTTGGGGATTCAGTATATCTGGGGATTTAATGAGGTTATGAATTTGCAGAGTGGGGAGGTTGGTGGTATTTTGGAGATTCAGGCCCTACCAGGAAAGGCCCCAGGCTGTGAGAGAGTGGTAAGGTTCAGAACTCACCATCGAGCTGTCAGAGAAGACATCGGGGTGGTTCTCATAGATAAATTTCTCCACTCGCATCTGCCGCAGTTTGAACATCTTGGAGCCCCGGTTAGTGAGCAGCGACAGCTCCTCCAACATCACATCCCTTGGGACACTGATCTTCTTGCCCAGGTTCAGGCCTGAGCTCTCCTGCCCACCTTTCAGGGAGGTAAGGAGGAAGAGGAAAGGGAAAGAGGGAAGTAGGGTTTTCTGGGCTCAGGTTGTAGGCCCCGTCCACAACTAAGTTTGTGTGTCCTGGCAGAGATCACTTAGGGGGACAGGTACTGTTTGTGATGTCTGATCAAACTCTGTCTAGTTTGTCTAAATTTTGATTTCCTGGATTTGGAGTTAGAGTGAAAGCATGGGAATTGGGGTGCAGAATGGAGATAGTAAGAATACTAGAGTAGAGAGGTAGATGGAGTAAGAGGGGCATGGGCATGGGGTACAGGGCAAAAGGAGTAAAGGAACATCATAGGTGGAGGCATTGAGGAAACTATGGCATGGGAGAGCCCAAAAGCCAATCCTATGTGGAATTGGCCACCTCTAAATACAGATGCGTATCTTAACTCCTTTCCCTTCTGTCCCCCTCAGTGAACTCTGGCTCCCAACAGCCTCTGGGTATTGAGAGAGCTCTTTACACCATGCATGCCTGCCTGACCCTAGGAGAAATGCCTGTGTGGTTTCCCCACAGCCCTACCTCTGGGGAGAGAAGTAAGGAAATTAATTAATTTCTCAGGGAGAAATCATCTATTTATTGAAATCTTTCTTTGTGCCAGTCTCTGTCATATGTGTTTTCATCCTCAAACATACACCCCACTGACTCATGGTCCTGTGGTCCTGGATCTGTGCTAGGTAATATGGCAGGGCATTGTCTCAGATTACAAGGTGAAAAGGGTGGAAGGGTGAGTAGTCAGTGTCCCGTCTTTTCTCCCTTCTCCTTGCCTCCCCCGACCCTGGACTGGAATTCCTCTTATCCTTTCATGCTAAGACATGTATAAAATTACGATATTTTTGGGATTCTTGGTCCAGGGATGCTCTTAATAGGAAGTCCCACACTAGGTAGGTGCATCCATGCCCTACCTCCAGTGAGTTCTATGACCAGCTTGCTGGATTTCCTCTTCTTGTTGGGGGCCGGGGTTCCTGACAGCGGCATTGTGGAGGGGGTTCAGCCTGGATAGGGTGGGAAGAGGAGTTTGGAGGGTGGACAGAAACAGGGAAGGGTGAGTGTGAACAAAAGAGCCCCTTTTCTACTCCAGGGCAGTACTTCTTAACCTGGGGTGCAGGGCTTCAGGGGGCAAAATTTCATCAGATTCTCAAAGAAATATGGATTCCCCCAAAAGGTGAAAACCCACTGCTTTAGGGCTTCTCTCTTCTGGGAGGCAGGGCAGGAGGTGTAGATGTGCCCCCTGCCCCCACCCTCTACCAGCTTCTATTGAGCTATTTTATACAGAGCTGGTGCAGGGATTAGGAACACAGCTGGGGGAAGGGTGGTTTAAAAAAAAAGGCAACCCAGGCAAGACAGTACACCCAGGTTTCATTGGATTGGCATGGTTTGAAATGTTTATTTGCGTTGGGATCTCAGATTGGGGCTGTGATTCCAGCTCTGGCCTCTTCTCAGTCTTCCCCAAGCCCCAGGGGGGCAGAGAAATGTTCTGCCAGGGTTATGGGGATTCAGCCAAAAACATTCTCCATAGGAAGGAGAGATTGTTGCTCCTCCACTGAGCCAGCTGGAATGTGGCCTGGGAGGTCACTGCTGTGCTCCCCTTCAGTCACCCACACCCCAGATCCCAGAACTGGAGTTGTGGGGAGACAGGGAGCATTTGAACCCTGAGCCTGTCAATTCAGCAATATCATTGCAGAGGACAGGAACACAGTAACAGGATCTGGCAGTGGAGGGGAACAAGCTGGGAACAGATATGGACTTCAGCTCTTCCTTAACAGAAGTCTGCCCTTAGCAAAATCCCCTCTTCTGCTGAGTCTTGCTTCACAAACACATCTGCAGCTCTACTAACTTGGTGGGGTCTGCTGAGGCCAGAGTCCAAGAACGTTTAAATGGACTCTCCCTGCACCTCTCTCAGCCCCTCCCAGATTCTTTTTTCCATTAGCCTCTTGGACCCCCTATTCCTCCAGTACCTCTCCCAATATCTCTGTTCCCTCCAACCTCCTGGACCCATCTCTTTCCAACTTTCTGTGGCACCCCTGAATTGGACAGCCGAGAGCTGAGCATAGACTGGGGGGGGCCACTCACGCAAGATGAAAACTAACAACTGTAGACACAGACACAGAAGTAAGCAGAGTGGACTCCAGCCCCTCTGGCCATAGAACTGGACTTACCAGTTGCTCCGGCGGTGGTCAGCTCTCCCTGGGGTCCAGCAGCTTTGGAGGACTGAGTTGCTATGACCGAGAACCCGAGATGGCCAGGCGTGGGGGCAGCACTGGCAGTGGGGGAGGGAGGGTAGTTATTAATAGAGATGATGAGTGTAAGCAGCTCAAATGGCACAGGGGGTACTGAGACCCTGGAACCAAGATCCTGCTCTCCTTGCCCAGAGGCTCCTAAAGGGGAGAAAAGGCCTTTGGGATTCTCCCACTGAGCTGTCTGAGCCAGGGATCAGCCTGCCTAGGGAGAGCTCCCCTTCCCTTGGCAGTTGGAGACAGATCCAGAAAAGCCTTCAGGGAGAAATTGAAGACCAAAGGAGAGGAAGCAGGCAGCAAGTGGTGGATAGGAATTCAGAGTGAGAGAGAGAGAACCTGGAGAACGTGCCCTGAGGGCCACCCAGAGCCAATTTAGGCCGGAGCTGGAGGGACCAGTGGGTGTATTTGGGGGTAGGAGGACTTGAGGCGCTGTTTGGGAAGGGAATGAACATCTGTTCACAATAGAACTGCTCTTTTAAAGTTCCTGGATGGGTTGGTCTTCCTCTGCTGAGGGCCAGATCTTGTCAGGATAAGGGATTGATTTAACCAAACCCAATGCTTCTAGGCAGTCAGGGATGATGTGGGGAAGACTTGACCAGTTCTTCTGTCCACCTCACTCCCTTTTCTTTCCCCTTAAACTCTGGCAGTTCTAAGAACAGATGAACACCTGGATCTGCACATTTGGGGGAGCTCAGTTCAGCCTACTCTGCAGGACAGATGTTGATGTACCCCTGAGAAGCACATGTAGGCTTCTGATCTGCCAGGGCCCTTGCTCTCTGAGGTTCCTACTTGGGACTTCCTTCAAAGGGTGCACACACTCCATAGGTTCTGGGTTATCCCATTACACTGTTCAAAAAGAGACTCTGGGCAGGGGCATAAGCTTGAGAGCCCCTTGGGGGAAGGCTGTCATTTACCCATTCCCTTCCTCAGAAGCTGCGTGAACATCCTGGATCTTCCCACCTACTCCTCAGGTTCTGGAACCAGCTGCCGCTGTAGCCACACTGCCTGTTGCAGCTGCCTAAGGAAGTGGCTTTCGAAACTCCCAGACCCCTCTGTCCCTCTATGAGCTCTCCACTCTTCCCGTCTATACGCTTCTCCCATCGTCTACTCTTCAGGTTCAGGCTAGGGGCTGGAAAGTCCTCCTCCCCTTCTAGTTGGTCCCTTTCCAGACCAGCTGTGCCTCTAGATCCTTCACCTTCTGTCCTCCATTTCATCCCAACCCAAGGAAGCTATCAGAAGAAAAAAACATAATAGTAAAAGGTGATTTCATCATCACCACCACCCTCCTCTCAAAAACAAAAACTGAAATTTCGACTGTCTATCTATGACTGAGTACCTAAAACTACTGAGGTGGGTGAAGACAGAAGATTTCGCCTAATGCTCTCCCTCGGCTCTTCCCTTGGAATTCTCAGAGGCTATGTACTTGAGTACTCGGTCCTCTAGGGTCGCTGTGAGTCAGAATCCACTCGATGGCAACAGGTTTGGTTTTTGGTTTTTATGTACTCGAGAGTATCAGTGTCTTGGGCCTGGTTATTAGCATAAACATGCCCCCTGCTGGAAAGAGCAATGGCACTTTCCGTCTCAGAAGCCTTTTATTTCAGCTTGTCTCTGGTGACTTCTCTTAACTAGTCTAAGTCCACACTGATCCACCTTTCTCTCCTTCTTCCCTCTCCCAACCCATTTTCACCCCTAGCCATTTAATTCCCAGAGACTGTTTAACATGGTTGCTTCCTCTAGGGAGCTAGGAAACGTTAACGGCAAAAGGCTCAGAGGGCCTTTCCAGCTTCTGTTAGTTCTGTAAGCCAAGGTCATGCCTGGGAAGTATGGAGTAGGGGCTAGAAACGGGGGGAACCTGGATGGAAAATGTGGGGAGAGGAAACCAAGGGGAGTGGTGGAGGTGGATGAAGGGCAAAAGGGTGAAAAATGGAATGGCAGGAATGGGAGAGGGAGCTCAGGAGTCAGGAGATTAAGGGAATGGGTTAGAGAATATCAAGATCAGGATTTGGGTATAAAACTAGAAGAGATGACAGCAACAGAAGGTCTGGGACATGAGTTTATTCTTGTGCACAAAACAAAGTACCGTGACTCACACCTAATATGCAAAGGAAATTATTAATTTCCAGATGAAGCAGCAAATGTGGCTGGTGGCGGTCAAGGTGAGAAGGGGAGTCCATACCCCTCCAGGATCAGAGATCAGGGCCTGAAGCTGGAAGGGAACAAGAGCTGGGGCTTTGAGGGATGGGGTAGGAATAAAAGGAGGGTTTGACTCTGGGTGTTTCTCTGTCCTTTCCCAGGTCATCATGACAAGCTGCAGAAGACAGACTAAGGGATAGACTCAAAGGTAGCACAGACTCCAACTGTTCTTTCAACACTCTGCACACAACCTCTCTGCACACAACCTCACAGCCCCACACCATCATCCCCCTTCACTATGCTAACAGATACATTCTTCTCCCTCAAATTTTCCCCAATCCACTGACTGCATGCTGTTGGTTTCTTGTTACTCAACTGCATTCTCTGCCCACACTGCACTCTCCCTCACCGTGCTCCTCTTCGTGGCTCAATCCACTTCATTCATTTCTGTTCTGCTCCTGGTTTCTGCCTCACTTTCCACATCCTGGCTCCTTTCTCCCTCCTTTCTGTCTTAGGCTCATGAGGCAATGAAGCCAATGATTTGCTCATTCTCAGAGGAAATTTTATATTTTATCACTTCCTGGATGCTAGGTTGCTCAGTGTGGGCTTCTCAAGTTGCTAATTTTCTGAAATCTGAGGAATAGAATTCTTAATTCTATTCTTGGTCTAGCTGCTATAACCCATGCAAGATGTCCTGGCCCTTCGATATCCTCATACCCAATAAGTGTCACAAGATGCTGTTGCACCTCCTACAGATGCTGGTCTCTAAGGAGTTATTCTCTAGTGAGTCTCTTTCTCCCGACTAGACAATCCATATGGGAATACTATCTGACCCTTCTCTCATCAGTGCAAGGGTAAGGCCCAGATGGGGCTTTTATTTAAACCTTGCCTCTAACTCTTGCCTTAGAAGAGCACATCTGTGCACATGCACATTTGCACATACACACATACATGTCTAGGTGTATGCCAGCCAAGCTTGGGAAAGAAGAGTGAGGAATAGGGAGGGGCTGATTGCAAACAGGTGTCGGTTCAGTCCCTTTGCTGTCTGTCTGGTGGTGAGCATCTTGCCTGAGGTCCCAGTGGTAACTTCTCTGTGTACTTCTCACTGAACGTTAAAACGAGGCCCAGAGAGAAAAGCACAAAGATAGAAAAACATAGACGCAGTGGAAGAGTGTGGGAGGAGAGGCCTGGAGATAAAGACAAAGAAATCGAGGCAAGGAAATACAGAGACAGAGAGTGAATAGGAAGCTAAGGGATGGGACGCCAACTCTGAATCTCTGGCAGGAGGGAGCTTTAGCCTCCAGATGCCTGAGAGAGGGTGTGTGATGCGGTAGGAGTATCAACTTTAGGAACAGGATGTTCCACCTCTCCTTGGTCCTGGGAGCTGTGCTCTGCTTACTGGTGCCCTGCCCCAGGCCTCCACACATGAGCCTGCAATCCCGTTCTGGTGGCTGAGAACCTGGGCCTGGCTACCTGGAAGCCACAGGAGCTGGGGGAGGCTCCAAGGCCCCTGGGAGACTCTGGAGTAGGAGCTGGGCTAGGGACAGGGGCTGAGGCCAACTCTGTCCTCCAGATAGGCTCATCTAGTGTAGTGGCTGCTCGTGGGGCAAGCACTGTGGGGGCCAGGGGCTCTGCAGTGGGCTGGGGCGCTGGAGTGGAAAATCTGCGGATCTCCTGGACTCGGGCAGTTTTGGGGGGCCCCGAAGTAGTGGGGCCTGGAGTTGGGGGAACCTCATCAAAACAGAACATGGCAGTTTTAAGTTGGTAGGGCTGGTGCCTCATGAAATCAATAACCTTGATGCCCTGCTTGGCTGCCCGAGGCCCCTGGGACTGAGCCTTACTCGGGAGAGTTCGGGCAGCCTGAGGGAAAAAGGGTGAGAGCAGTGGGTTGTAAGCAATAGGAGGTGGAGCACGGATATTGGGGGAATATTTCCAGGATGAGGGCAGTGAAGGAGTAGGAGAAGGGCTTCTGGGCCGTGGGCCAAGGCCAAGGCCAGGACCAGGTGTAGCTTCCACCACATACCTGTCTGCGCGGCTCTGCCGCTTGGCAAACAGCTCCCCACCCCTGCCCTGCAGCCTTGGTGGCTCAGGGGTTCCAGACGAAGGGACTCCCCCATTCATCAGCCCATCAAGGGACTCCCGAGATAGCGGCTTAGGAGCTACCGGGGGCGGAGTCTTAGGAGTCTTAGGGGGTGGACTCTTGGGAGCCATTGGAGGCGGGGTTTTAGGTGTCATAGGAGGCGGGGTCTTGTAACTCCTGCCCCCTGGTGGCTGCATGAAGTTGCAGGCTTCTGCCCCGAGGCTCAGAACGTCCTCCTCAGGACCAGATTCAGCACCCCCGGCCCGGGGTTTTTCATCCAAGTTCTGCACCAGCGATAGTAACTCGGGGTTGGGCGAGTTCTTCGTCTCCTCCTTTCCTGGTCGGAACATCTGCTTCCGAGTCCCCCGGCGCCGGGCCTCCTGCAGGATGCCCGTGCGGGCAGCTGGCACCGAGATGCGCTGCTCCCGTGCGCTGGGGGGCTCAGGTGCAGCTCGGCCCGGGACGAGCGCCTCTGGGCGTGCAGCTGATAGCTGAGGCGCCGACAGGAAGATAGAAGCGGTGGAGGTCATGGCAGCTGCGCTAGGGGAAGTGGGGGGCTCTGGGGCACCGCCTGGAGTCACAGGCCGACTAGGGGCTGGGATGTACAGGGAGCTGGTGGCCGTCACAGGGCCCGAGGAGCGCGGAGTGCTGGGGGAACTGGAGGCTGGCACGTGACTGGGAACCCCTGGGGTGAAACTAGGCAAAGGAGTGGGCCCCTGCGGAGTGGGCAAGAAGGGGGGTGGGGGAGCGCTGAGGCCTCCGAGGTTTTCATTCCCCCTCTTGGGGGCTAGGGGCCGGAAAATAACCGAGGTGGTACCTGGCCGCTGCCCTTGTAAGCCTGGGGTAAATGGCCTGGCTGACCGGTTAAAGATACCAGGAGATGGGGAAGGGGCTCCACCACCAGGAAGAAAGGGTCTGGGGCTGGCCGCAACGGCCGGCAAAGGGCTAGGTGGGGGCACAGCTGCCTCCGGGGGTGCATTCTGGGCCCGAGGGGGTGACTGCAGGCCCTTCCCATTGAGCGTGGCTGGTGGGCCGTCCTGGGCCAGCTCCTGGGTGCTGGAGGCTGCGCGCTGGCGCTGCTGTTCAAAGAGCTGGACCCCTCTCCCGGAGGCCTCAGTCAGCTGCCCTCCAAGCCCCGGGCCCTGGCCCTCAGCTGTGCCTGAGCCTGGCTTGGCCAGCTCCATGTCCAGATAGGGGCTGTCCCAGTCAGTCTGATTGGTGAGGCTACGGGCGTCGGAGAAGGCCTCTTCGTCCAGCTCTGACTCACTTGTGGGGGGGACACCGTCCTCCTCCTCGGCGCCTGTCCCAGCTGCAGCCCCGAAACTCACTAGCGTGTACTTCTTGGCTCTCTGCCGCCGTTTCTTAAACATAAGTACTCCCTTGGAATGGGGGTTCGGAGCAGCGGTTAGCAGGGATGCAATCGTCCGGCATTTGGTCTTGGCTTCCTTCACACTCTTTTCTTGGAGGCTCTCTGCGCGTTGCAGTTCTGAGGAGGCCAGGAGAGAAAATGGTCAGCGGGGCTTCCCCAGCCTCTTCTAGTCCTGTTTCCCAGCTCCCTCAGGCTTCCCATCGTTTCACTGATCAAACCTAGGAGATGTCTCCTGCCTGTGGCAAAGTTATCTGACTTGGGGGCAGAGTGGGGGGTGAAAGGTGAAACCAAGGACAGCTGAAGAGAAGGCAGAGTCCAGCTGACTCTCCTGACACTGCACTGACCACAGCCCTCCTCCTATCCTCTGTCCCCTCTCCTCTGCTCCCGTCTTCCCAGAGATGTGCTCTTACCCAGGCCACACACATTCCTCCCATGCTGCCCTCCATTCCTAGCTGGCAATGGAGGGGAGATGTCACTCCCCATAGTAGGAAGGGAGATGGGACAGGCCTTAGGGAGAAAGAGATGAGAAGGGACATATTTCTCCCACTATAGAGGCAGAGGCTACGTTGGGAGGCTTCTCACAAAGTTTGAACCCCTGGGAAATAGCCCCTCTTCCTACCCCCTGCCTCTATGATAAAGACACAAAGGATCCTTAGCAATGAGGCTCTTTATTCACATTGCCACCTCCATCATGCAGCACACATTAGATACAAACATCCATAGAAATGACTACCATCACACATCATTTTAACAAGGATATTGATCAGTTAAAAGCCAGGATGGGTATATTTCCTCGTGTGTACTTATTCACGTTTACCCTAGCTCACAAGTTCATGTTCACATACAGATATGTAAATACACAGGTGCCCACAAAAAGACAGAGTTACTCAAACACTCCAGACACATTCCAGGTGGCCCTTCTTCCCAGAGTTCCCTCTGAAGAGACTCTGTTCCTAATCGTTAGGACAAAAGCTTGAAGCTGATCTTTGCTTTCCAACCGCTGGAACATCACTCTGTGCCTCATACCCCTCACACCTACTCACAGCCAGGGGTAGTCTCAGATCCAACATGCAGGAAAAGCCAGAGTGCTGCTCTCCAAACTAATCCTCCAAATCTTAGGATACCTCAAGATCACCAGCTAAATATATTCTCCTTTTTCCCAAGCTGGAGTAAGTGGGTTTCTTTGGAAGTCAGAGCTACCCCCTCTTTTTCAGGCCTTCTAGGTAGTGAGTGTGGGCAGCGACTCCCAGGCAGGCATCCAGGGACTGTACACTAAAGGGAGCCAGGGCTGGGCTTCCCGTACCATGTGGGGCCTGGGAAAGTGGGGCCAGGAAATGGGAGAGGCTGCCCTGCTGCTGGAACCCCACCTTGGACACCAATACTCTCTGGTCCATAGCCCCAGTTCCTGAAAAATTCTTGAAATTCCATCTACTTCCCACTCAAGATACCAATCAAGCTTCTTTCTAATTAGGGCTCTCACACCTCTCATCCCAATGTTTAAAACACAATAGTGCTGTGAATGGAAAAACAGGCTCTGAAATCAGGGTTCAGTTCAAATCCCTGCTCTGCAAGGTTTTTGGTTCTGAAATGTTGGGAGCGTTACTTCACCTCGCTGAAGATCAGTTTCCTCATCTGTAAATGAGGCTGATAATGGCTACCTCATAGAGTTGCTATGAGGAGTAAGTGAGATAATGTAGGTAAATTTAGCGTTCAGCACAGTGCTAAGGCCCACTATGAGCAGCCATTACTATCTTCTTGACACTAGCTACACAAGTATATGGACAATTTCTTGTTTACACACATCTTCTCTACTCCCATGCACTCATATACACATGCCTTCATGTGCTCATAGTGTGCTCACACCTCTCTCTCTCATAGACACACTCTCCCCATGAGTTTTCTATCACCCATGTGGTCACAAGCCACTTTAACAAGTGGCCATATCATCAGCCCATTCTGAGAAAGGAGCAGTGAAACTCCTGAAAAGAGGAGGAAGAGGAAGGCAAAAAGGAGGAGGGTCAAGGGAATAAGACCCTTCCCAAAGATGTCCCTTCCTAAACTGCCGATATATTTCCCCCACTCTGGATCCCAGAACTCTCTTGGATATGGGAGGGTAGTACCTGCATAGAATGGGTCCTGGAGCTCAGGATCTGGGCCTGGGGCTTTGTCACAGCTGGCTTGGCTGAGGGGTTCTTGGTTGATGGTCTCAAAGGTCTCCATGCCGGGAAAGGCAGTGTTGGCTGGAGCAGGACCAGCTTGAGCCACCCCCCACGCCTTTTAAAGCCCCTTTGTCTGGTCCCCAGAGCTGGCAGCTGAATGAGTTCACTGTGCTATTTTTGGAGCTTGGCCCCTTCCCTTCTCTCGGCTGCCCCACAAGCCCCAGTGTGATGGACGTTGGCACCTGCCTACCCTTCCCCCCACCCCACCCCATTTGACAATGAGGTCTGCTTAGCTAAAAATATCCCTGAGCCACTAACTACAGTCTCACCCAGCATGATGGGAAGGGGGGTTGTGCTAAAATGAGAATTGTGGATAAGCATGGGATCCTGGACATACATCTGGAATTTCTTTGTAGAGTCTTGGATACTCTCAGAGATGTCAGACTCTAAACTGTGGTGTTGTTAGCCTTTATTCCAGACTTAGAGACATAAAATTCTACGGCTTAGGAATCAGAATGGTGGCAAGGAGGGAAGAGAGATAAGAAGAAGAGAGGAGATCCTAAGATTTCTGAAGTGAGAGAAAGGTCTCTGTGGGAGGGATATGAGGGGCGTGGGGCAGGGAGAAAGTTCACTCTTAGACCTTGTTCTGTAGCTCACATCAAAAATAGCAAAGAGCCTGAGATAAGTGGAACTGGCTTTTTCTGCCCAGGTCCACATTCCCGCCTGAGATAAGGAGCTGAAGAGTCCTCTCCTCTACCACTTTCTAGGGATCTCATGACCATCCCCTAGCCTCACAGTCCCCAGGAATCCTAACTGAACTTACAAAGGTCAAAAGTAGTTCTGATGCTATGCCTGAAAATAACACTGAAGGGCCCCTGTAGCTCTGCCCTGCTCCTGTAGCCCTGTCCTACTTCCAAATACTCCCCAGCCCCATGTTCACACTCTACCTTCACCCCTATCCTGACACATAGCAAAATGATAATAATAACAACAACAAAAATCAAACCCTACATCTATTCATGTCCCTTTCCAACTTCTCTACCTACCCTGTTCCTAGGTTAGGTTGAACTACCTGTGCCTTTTTGCCACACTGGTTCAAACAGCAAAAATAATGGGGACCATGAGAATAGTCATTTTCCTCTCCCAGTCATCACTCTTCTCTACTTGTCCCAAAACCATCTCCAGGAGAAGGGTAAGGCAGGGTGTAGAGTTATGGAGGGGTAGATTTAGGGCCCAGGTTGAAGGATCCTGGTTGGGAAGAAGGGGTTCAGGCACTCACTTGCTTGCTTGGCCTTCTGGGCGTAGGTGGTAGTAAGATCTTCTGCCACTGGGTGGGGAACAGGCCCCACCATAGGAATGAGGTTAGGACCAGGCCGGAGGGGTCCATGGGGCAACAGCAGGGCCTCGGCTGGGGGTGGGTGAAGGGCTGCCCCGTCCTCCCAAGATGGGGAGCTCACACGGCTGTCACCCTGGCTAGGAAGACCAGGGATGGCA